CTTTTCTTGCTTTACTATGCTAGCTCAAACATTTAATAAAATATAAAAAAGCATATTTATCTCTACGTTGATTTTAAATGGAATACTCCAAATACCTCACCTGTAAGAAGTTTCAATTTCTGCATCTAATGAGATGATAAGGTATTTTTTTCCTTTAATCTGTTAGCGTGATAATTTTTATTTATAAATTTTCCAGAAACACCTTTGCATTCCTGGGATAAAGACAATTTGATCACAAATGGATAATCTTCATCATATATATGGCTGTTCTTGAATTACTGATCTTTTTTATTTTTATATCTATGGAATGTTTTTAATCTAGGTGATATTTTAAATCTATGTTTTGGATAAAGAATGGCCTTTCTCATACAATCCTTATCTGGCCTTAATATTGAGCTTTAGATTACCACAGGGGTTCCCTTTCTCCTCTTGTAAGGATTCTCATGCCTTATGATACAAACAAAGCTCCCATTTGTAAATTTCAGCATGTGCTCAGTTCAATAATTACCTTGCAATCAAAAATCAGACTCTCTCATTAAACAATGAATTTGCGCCTAGTGAAGGAAACTATAAAGTCAATCGTTTAGACCTAAAATTACCTTGTTCAGGTTCTATGTAATAAATATTTATCTTTGCTAAAAATACATAGGAGCTAAAAACAGAATAACATAACACTTAGGCTGGCTAAAAAAAAGAGAATCTTCTTCCAACTTACCATGTTATGGTAAAGAATATTAGATTTGATCAATAATAAATGACCATCTTTCTTTGCATTGTTTTATTGCCATTTAGTTTAAGAAAAATTTCTTTGTTTTTAAATTTATGACAGAGTATAATATATAATATAATTTTTATTCCACAGGCATGAAACAATTACTTGGAATAATAAAACAGATTTTTTGTAAGAAAAAGCTTAAGTTCACAAAATACCCTTGTTTTTCCTTCTTCACTGTTTTCTGTAAAGAAAAAGGTATATCAAGCCAGAATAGCTTTGGGGTTGTTTGTTTGTTCATATGACTACTATGATTTGTCTCTCCCTTTTGCAAGAGACTAATGAGATAAATCATTACTTTCAAAACACAAATATGTCCTGAACATTGGTTAAATCTCAACTTTTCTTTCCTTAGATTTTTTTGTTTCTTTGATATTCTTGAGTTTAAAGCTTAGTTAATTTTTGTTCTTTCTAATCTACTACTAAAAGTGTAGAAAATATAGTTTAAGAGAGTAAATTTTCATCTGAGCACAGTTTTGTCAGAATTCTCTTTATGTACATACACACTGTTCTATTTATTGTCATTTTCAATAGTTTGTAATTGAAATTTTGCTTTTCTTTTGAGTTATTACAGTGCCCGATTTTTTTGGAGTGAAAAAATTATGTTAATATATTAAAAGTGTTACGTCATCCAACAACTTAGTGGACAAATTTTTCGATAATTTCACCGTAAAGGATGGGAGAATGCCTCTAGCAAGAATAAACTGGTGACTCACTCCATTTTGTTCTTTTGTATTATGAGTAGAAATCTACCTCCCCCATTTTATCATAACTTTCCCAGTTTTACCCTCTCAATATATAATATGTAAACATATGGTTCTTCAATATGGTAGGTTTCATTTTTAATGGAAGTATATCAAAGACCCAGAGAAAAAGAATGAATATCATCCTGTCTGAGATTAATAGAATTAGTAGTTGCAGTACCTACCTGGTAACTTGTTTTACTATGAAACAAAATACACAAACATACAGGTGACATGGCTATTCATTTGCATATTTGGGAGAAAGCCCAACAAAGATTAGGTTGTGGCTGAATTGAAATAAGAAGGGGCTGGGAGATTGTGGCAAAATGTTAAAAGGACAAAAAT